ATAAAATGTATATACATAAATTGTTTCTGAAAGGATACACAAAAAAACTGGAAACACATTACTTTCTTTTTTTTCTTTTTCTTTGAGACAAAGTCTTGCTCTGTTGCCCAGGCTGGAGTGCAGTGGCGTGTTCTCAGCTCACTGCAACCTCCGCCTCCCGGGTTCAAGTGATTCTCCTGCCTCAGCCTCTTGAGTAGCTGGGACTACAGGTACGCGCTACTACACCTGGCTAAATTTTTGTATTTTTAGTTAGAGATAGTGTTTCACCATGTTGGCCAGGCTGGTCTCGAACTCCTGACCTCAGGTGATCCGCCTGCCTTGGCCTCCCAAAGTGCTGGGATTGCAGGCATGAGCCACCGTGCCCGGCCAGAACACATTACTTTCAAGGATGGAAAGTGGGTCGCTAGAGGACAAAGGGGGAAGGAGATTCTTTACTACTATTATATAGAAATGTGTATTAATATATACTCCTTTGTACCATGTGCCTCTTCTACATAAGTAAGTAAAAGGATCAACTTAGATAGGAAAGGAGCAACGTTTAAAAGAAAACAGAACAAAATCATGGGCGTTTACAAAAGGAAAAAAAGCGGTTTTTGTTTGTTTGTTTGTTTGTTTTGAGACAGAATCTCGCTTTGTTGCCCAGGCTGGAGTGCAGTGGCACAATCACAGCTCACTGCAGTCTTGACCTCCTGGGCTCATGTGATCCTCCCACCTCAGCCTCCCAAGTAGTTGGGACTACAGGCGCATGCTATTACACTCAGCTAATTTTTTTGTAGTTTTTGTAGGACACGGTTTCACCATGTTGCTCAGGCTGACCTCAAATTCTTGGGCTCAACTGATTTGCCCAACTCGGCCTCCCAAAGTATTATGATTACAGGCGTGAGCCACTGCACCTGGCTAGAAAAAAGGCTTTAAATATAAAGAACATGGGTAGTGGGTACACAGATATTTGTTACGCTATCATTAGTATTTTTCAGTTAAACAAGTACTTGGATATTCATAAGAAACTAACAGAGTAGGTGGAGAGATTATAGGGATTTTAAATTTTCTTCTTTTCAATATTTTCTAATTTGCCTATGATGAACAAGTATTAGTTCTGAGATGAGAAGATGATATTTTTAATATCAAAATTTTAAAATACAAATGAGTTGAAACTCAGAAAAATCACTATGTTGGAATAAGGAATGTTGAATGTTTTCTGCAGACCATATGATATGTTTATTATTGTGATAAAAATAGAAAGAACTATAGACTATAAGATTTTAAAACAGTATTGGTAAGAATGGAAGAAGAATCTTTCCCTTACCACCACCTCCTAATTCATGTGAGCGCCCACACAAACAGTTTTGATCAAGCAGATGGTCTCAGAAAATTCCTGGACAACTATTCAAGTCTAGGGTCATCTGTGTTATTGTAAGGCAGTGAAGTGAAATTACGAAGGTATGCTAGTTCACATTAACATTTGTCGGGTCAACAGGGTGCTTTTATAGAAGGGTGTGTAGGGTAGAGAATGCCATCAGTCACACACAGGACATGTTAAGAGTGTAACATTTACAAAAGTTTGGGAATTATTTTTGTCATAAAGCCTGTATTCACCTTCACAGGTGAAAAGATAAAATTTCTCAAAAACAATACTAGAATAAATAAGGCAAATCAATTTTCTATGGTGATATGTTATCTGTTTAGGCAACTGATATTCATTAATCAGGTTATGTTAAGGTCTTTATGTGTCAAGTAATGCATAAGAATACCTTTGCTTGTGAAGAATCTGTAAATGCTCAAAGTATAATTGGCCCAGGGAATTTATGCTAATCACAACCTCTTCTTCAGACACCAAGTCTACCTTGAATGGGTTTGCTGTGATATGGCACTTCAGGCCTCCTTTTCCATCTGCCAATATCAGACTCCCTGTGTCCCCTGAGCATGAAATCAGCCTAGAAAACAAAGCAGGAAGAGAAAAACAAGCCGCTATAGGTTTACATGGCCTTATGTGATTTGTACTGCCAAGTAATTAATTAGTAAATCACTATTCATGTGACATAGCCATAGATAAGGCAATAGAGAAACGTTAACGAGAGCATTGGCTTTGGTGCCAAAGAACTTAAATTGAGCATAACTCTACATATACTTTATAACTTTGGATAACAAAGTTATCCAACCTTTCTAGGTTTTGGTTTCCTTATCTGTAAGGTGAAAATAACAAAAGGAACAACAAAATTTCTGCAGAGAATTAAATGAGATCACATGTGTAAAGCTCTTGACACAGTGCCAGACACATTTAAAAAAAAAACAATAAATGTTAGCTATCATCATCGTCATCATCATTACCTTGGTCTGGAATGCCTAGTAACTTGCTAGATTTTGGTGTGCAAAATCTAAATATTGTTTTTCTTTCTCATTCCAATCACATACTCAGAAACCGAGGAAATAACACAGATTGGGTCCACAGTGAGATGGAACTGGGTCAAATTTTTATTTACCTATTTATTGCCTGATTCCCAGCAGCCTCCAATTTCACAGGTACACTGTTAGGATGTTTTAGATCCACAAGAATTATGTAAGCTCAGACACAGCACTTAAAATCCCTCAAAGCTAGATAATTCCCTTTCTCCAGTGCACAGTGTGCCTAGTAAATGTTCACAGGACTCTTTAAGGAAGGTAAAAAGAGACAGTTTAGGTTCTTATTACGTCTTTTCAGTCCTTCTCCATGGATTCTATGTCTCCTCTTCAA